GTGCAAAGCTAGGCCCAGAGAATGGGGCTAAGGGAGGGGCCAGAACGCCCACCGAGGCCTCTACCCCTGGATATTAAAGACCAGAGGGCTGGATGGGAGAAGAGAGAACCACATCTTGGCCGAGGAGTGAAACCATCAGGCTTATTGGCAGGAAGTGAACAGCACTCCAGGGCAGGAGGCAAAGCTCCGTGCACCACTGGCTTTGTGGACCCCGCTGAGTGGGGATGACTGGTGAGACCCAATCAAGGATTCAGTCTGACAGATGGGACAGTCTGACAGCAGTGGAGATCAGTTAAGGAGGCTGCCCTGGGGTCAGGCCTGGACATTTGGTTCACCTTGGGCATGAGGAGCCCATGCAGACTCAGGATGGAAAGCTGAAGGAGGCACAAAGCTTGTAGGTTGTTTGGGGAGAATGGAGACGGAAAACTGAAGCAAGAGAATGCTTGGAGCCCAGGAAGGAGTCAAAGTTCACAATTTTGCACGGCTTCTGGGCTTCAGAAAAACCCCCAGCAAATCCACAGTGACCTATATTCATGTTCAGCTGCTATTCTAGGTGGAGCTAGCCGGCCAGGAGCTCATCAGAAGGGAATGCCGCTGAGTTGCGGTAAGAGCCCCATCTCTCCCCAGAGGATCACTTCTTTTAAACTTTATTTCTATCCCAGAAGCCCATTGTCACCCATGATCCTTCTTCAAAGAGAAGAGGATGGACCTTAGGAAACCAAGGCCCCCAAGGGCCTCTGTGATCTTAGCTCTGCCTCCTCAGGGTCTGCTGGGAACTCCAGCATCTGCATTTGTACCCACATTGCTGCTCTCACAACAAACCTTTCCTCACTTCTTCACGGGCCTAAGCTTTATTCATCATCTAAGACTTGTTGATACAAAGCTCCCCTCCTTCAGGAGCCAACCGCCCCATTCCAGGCTGGTCCTGACCTAGGACCTGTGCTGTCTGTGCTGTCTTTGCCCATAGTTAGCACGCAAACCACAGTTGCAGCTCCAGATTATGAGATCTGTGGAGGGAACAATCTTTTACTGTTGGTTTATGTTGCTGGGGATTAAACCCAGGGCCTTGTGCATCCTGCAAGTTCTTTACAGTGGAGCCACACACTGAGCCCTGAAGTTCATCTTTGTCTTTAGACTGTGAGCCTGTGAGGGCCATGGCTTCCTCCTCTGCCACTGCGTTTTACTTATTTATTGAATTCTGTTCGGGGGACAGGGTTTTACTGTGCAGCCCTAACTAAGCTGGAACTTGCTATGTGGATCAGGTTGGCCTCAAACTCACAGAAATTATTCTGCCTCTGCCTCTGAGTGGTGAGATTAAGAGTGGGTCACCCAATAAGCATGCAACTAATAATTTTTTTTTTAAAAAAGATTTATTTTATTTTGGGGGCTGGAGAGATGGCTCAGTGGTTAAGAGCACGGACTGCTCTTCCAGAGATTCTGAGTTTAATTCTCAGCAAACACATGGTGGCTCACAAACATCTGTAATGGGATCTGTTGCCTTCTTCTGGTGTGCAGGGGCCCCTGTCCTACATGTCCAGGTCTTGCTGCTTTGAGCCTGGCACTATACTAAAAGTCAGGGCCACAGATACTGATGAGATACAATACCTACTCTCTTTTTGTCTTTGTTTTTCAGTGGAGAAACTGAGGCACAATCAGGACAAGGGATTTGGGTACATACTGAGTTCCAAGATAGCACAGCCTTGGCTATTGGCAACAGCCTATCTTAGAAAAAAGGTTTTGGCAAGATGGTTCATTGGGTAAGGTAGGAGCTGTGCAGCCCTGACAACCCCAGTTCAGTCGGAGTTCACAACGGAATGAGAGCAACAACCAACGCCTGGAAGTTACTCTCTGGTGTCTGCATGAATGTGCCATGTGCGCGTGAGTGTGCACATGTGTACAGGCACACACACACACACTCATGCACACGTATGCATACATAGAGATCACATATACAGTTATCACACAGAGATATCACACACATACCGATATCACTTCACACAGAGATAGCACACATACAGGTATTACACACTTAAATAATAAATACAGCTTTATTTTTTTAAAAGTTTAAATGTAAAAAAAATTACTATGAAAAATAGGCCTGAAGGATTTGCAAAAAATAAAGGATGATGTCACATTTTTAACTACTAGGCAAGAATTTCCACTGTGGGGAGCAGAGGAATCCCTAAGAGTGAAGTCCTGAGTGAAAATGTGTATTGTTTGACATGGACACAGTCAAGGACCCTAGCTTCAGACCTACAGGAAAAAGGCAAATTGCTCCCCCACATGGTTCCTGGCGGGTGAGGCTCAGAGAGAGATGGCAAATCCTTCCTCTGTTCCACATGTGAATGCTGATAGCGTGTGCAGACAATGTCTGCCATAGCTCCCCCTACACCTGCAACCTGGGAGTTCTCCTTGCTTCCACTAAGACTGCTAAAACTTGTCTCCTTGTTCATGTGTATGTAATAACTCCACCTCCTTGTCCGGTTGTATATAAACCTCGCCTCCTTCTCCAGTTCTATACAAACACTCTAAGTGACACTAGAGTGTCTCTATCAGAAAGTCCACTGAACCCAATCCCTGCTTTTTTTTTTAAAGATAGATTGATTTATTTATTATGTGTAATGCATTCTGCCTCCATGTATGCCCGCAGGCCAGAAGAGGGCGCCAGATCTCATTACAGATGGTTGTGAGCCACCATGTGGTTGCTGGGAATTGGACTCAGGACCTCTAGAAGAGCAGCCAGTGCTCTTAACCTCTGAGCCATCTCTCCAGCTCCCCCAATCCCTGCTTTTCTGTCCCTGTGTATCTTTGTCTTTTCTTCATTCCCTCACTGCCCCTAGTCAGGTCAGTCCCTGGAGCCACACAAAAATGAGGCACTCACTCGCAGGGTCGACTCCTCTGACACCAGAAAACAAGCCTGGACATCACTTGACTAAGTAGCCCAGGCCTCTCTGGATGAACAGTATGCTGGGACAAATGTTGATGTCACCATCCAAAGCCAGGCACAGGGGTACACACCTGTAATCCAGCTCTTGGGAGGCAGAAGCAGGAGGATAGGCACAAATTCAAAGCCAGTCAGGGCTATATAGTGAGTGCCCATTTCAAAAAGAAAAGAAAAAGGAGAAAGAAAAGAAAAGAAAGTTGAGAATAGTGTTTGCCTAACAAGCACAGAATTCTTTTTTTTTTCCTTTTTTCTTTTTTTCTTTTGGTTTTTTTGAGACAGGGTTTCTCTGTAGCTTTGGAGCCTGTCCTGGAACTAGCTCTTGTAGCCCAGGCTGGCCTCGGACTCACAGAGATCTGCCTGCCTCTGCCTCCTGAGTGCTGGGATTAAAGGCGTGTGCCACCACCGCCCGGTGACAAGCACAGAATTCTTGATTGGATCTCACCACCTGGTAAAACCAAGTACCATGGAACTGGCCTTGTCCCGTTGTCAGAATAATGACTATTTTGAATATCACCATAGACCCTTTGTCTGGTGACAGATGGAGATAGAGACAGAGACCCACATCAGAGCACTGGACTTAGCTCCCAAGGTCCATCCAGTTGAAGAGCAGAAAGAGGGAGAACATGAGCAAGGAAGTCAGGACCGGGAGGGGTGTGTCCACCCACTGAGACAGTGTGCCTGATCTAATGGGAGCTCACCAAAGCCAGCTGGACTGGGACTGAACAAGCATGGGATAAACTGGACCCTCTGAATGTGGCGACAATTGGAGCAGACTGAGAAACCAATGATAATGGCCCTGGTATTTGTCTCTACTGCATGTATTGGCTTTTGGGATCCTATTTGGATGCACACATTCCTAAGCCTGGATGGAGGGGGAAGGGCATTGGACTTTCCACAGGGCAGGGTACCCTGCCCTCTCTTAGGACTGGGGGGGGGGGGGTGAGTGGGGAGAGCAGAAGGGAAATGTGAGAAGTGGAAATTTTGAATGGTATTATTTATAAAGCAATAATTTTTTTTTAAAAAACCCATAAAATAACAAAAAGAGAGAAACAGAATTCACACAAAGTATGACTCCATCACTAGGGAGTCACACATGACTCCATCACTAGCAAGTCACACGCCTTTAATTCCATCACTAGGAAGGTGGAGGCAGGAGTGATATGTCTGGCTGGAGTGGAGGAGGAATATAAGGTAGGAGAAGAGGAACTCATTGCAGTCTGTAGTCACATTGAGGACAGAATCGCCCCTTTTTCTGAGCCTTGGTAGAGGTAAGAACTCTCTAGTGACTTGATTGCTTTGCTTTTCTGATCTTCATCTTGAACCCAAATATTTGTCTCTGGGTTATTATCCGTGCTCCACCATATATATGAGGTTATGTAAACAAATTGAGCACATAAAATGGGGCAATTCCAAACCTGGCATGAATGGTTGCTGTTATACCCTGGGATCTCCAATGACGGAGCCTAAAAACGTCCCACGATTTTTTTTTTTTTTTAGACGCTGAAATAGTACTTGGATCATTAAAAGCAATTTCAAATAGTTTTACTTTTTGTATGGCTACTTGGCTTTAAATTTTGACACGTGGCTCAGGCTATATTTTTGTGTGAGAGTGGCTAGCCTGTGCTTTTGACACCCAATAGGGAAAACTTTATTCAAGAGTTTCGCCCTCGCCCTTTGCTGCAGAGGCGGAGGTTTGGGTCTGGACTCCAGGGCCAGGAGGCTCCGGAAGTCCCACGCTGTCTCCACGTTTGAGCTCCCGTTCCAGAAGTCGAGGAGACAGTCATGAGAGAACAAACCTACAAGAGCCGCTGATACCTCCTGGAACCCAAAGCAGAGCCCACGCCCTCCTCCCTCTCCCTCCCGAGAACGCTTCTGATTGACAGGGCGAACCGAGCACTAGAAACGAAGTGCTCCCATTTTCCGGGGCGTGGTTAAGGAAAGAGGCGGGACTTTCTGCCCAGCCGAGAGTACTTAAATAGACTGGCTGGTTCCTACCGGTGAGATTTCTGAAGCCCTTGCCTAGTGCTGCTTTGCGTGGCTGCAGACGAGGTGGTGTCTTCGGATCTGGTGAGACTGAAACGCCGCTCGGTGGGTTCTCGGCTAGGTCGCCTCCTCTCCCTCCCGGCCTCGCCATGGCGACGTCCGTCTGCATCACCTGCCGGGTAGAGTTCCGCGACGCGGAGATGCAGCGGGCGCACTACAAGACGGACTGGCACCGCTACAACCTGCAGCGCAAGGTGGCCGACATGGCCCCGGTGACCGCCGAAGGTTTCCAGGAGCGGTTGCGGGCGCAGCGGGCGGTGGCGGAGGAGGAGAGCAAGGGCACGGCCACCTACTGCTCCGTGTGCAGCAAGAAGTTCGCCACGTTCAAGTCCTACGAGAACCACCTCAAGTCGCGGCGGCACGTGGAGCTGGAGAAGAAGGCGGTGAACCAGCAAGTGGAAATGCACAACGAGAAGAACCTGGAGAAGGGATTGGGCGCCGACAGCGTGGACAAGAATGTCATGAACGCGGCCATCCAGCAGGCCATCAAAGCCCAGCCGTCAATGTCCCCCAAGAAAGTGCCCTCCGTTGGGTCCCCGAGGGCGACAGGCCGACGGGGCGCTCGGCATCCGGACCCCGCAGAGAAGCCGCCCAGGCTGCAGTGGTTCGAGCAGCAGGCCAGGAAGTTAGCGAAGCAGCAGTGGGAGGAGAGTGAGCAGGAGGAAGAGGAGGAAGATTGGGAAGATATTGATTCAGATGATGGATTGGAATGTGAGAACCCTGGACTGGATGATGAGGATGCAGAAGCTGGGGAGAGCCTGCCCCCAGGTGCCATCCCAGTAACAGACTGCTTATTTTGTTCCCATCCATCCCAGTAACAGACTGCTTATTTTGTTCCCATCACTCAAGCTCCCTCATGAAGAATGTGGCTCATATGACTAAAATCCACAGCTTCTTTATTCCTGATATAGACTATCTTTCAGATCTGAAAGGACTTATTAAATATTTGGGAGAGAAAGTCGGTGTTGGCAAGATTTGCTTGTGGTGCAACGAGAGAGGCAAATCCTTCTACTCCACAGACGGTGTGCAGGCGCACATGAATGACAAGAGCCACTGCAAGCTCTTTGCAGATGGTGCCGCCGCTTTGGAGTTCGCAGACTTCTATGACTTTAGGAGTAGCTACCCAGACTACAAGGAGGGGCAGGACCCTGATGAGATCGAGGAGCTGTCCTCAGAAAAGACCTTGGAATGTGATGATGAAACCATGGAGCTGATACTTCCTTCTGGTGCCAGAGTGGGTCATCGCTCTTTGGCCAAGCAACGATGTGGCCTGCCAAGAGCTGTGACGGCTGCTGGAAACCAGAAGGCTGTGGGCAGGGTTCTCCAGCAATACCGAGCCCAGGGGTGGACAGGCAGCACAGGAGCAGCTCTCATGCGGGAGCAGGACATGCAGTATGCTCAAAGGGTGAAGTCGAAGTGGATGCTGAAGACTGGGATGAAGAACAATGCCACTAAGCAGATGCACTTTAGGGCCTAGGTGTTGTTCTGAGAGGCTGACACCGGAGATGCATCTCTGGCTGTACTTCTTGTCTTGTCGGAGGACCAGTGAAGCCAGATTGCAGAGTGGATCTTTTGCTGCTACTTCATTTGTTCTGATCTAATAAAGTCAGAATCATACCAAAACAAAAAACAAAAACCAGGCACCCTGTAATATCAACAGGTGGGAGGTAGAGCCAAGAGGATCAAGAAGTTCGGGCTGGAGAGATGTCTCAGCCATTTTTAATCCCAGCACTCGCAGAGTCAGGCAGATTTCTGTGACTACAGAGCTAGTTCTGAGACAGGCTCCAAAGCTACAAGAAACCTTGTCTTGAAAAGCCAAAAAAAGTTCAAGGTTATCCCCTGCAATATAACAAATTTGAAACCAACTTGGGATACTTGAGGCCCTGCCTATAAATAAATAAATTAAATAAATAAAATTTGAAAATTAATAAATATTTAAAAGAGAGCTCAGGGGCTGGAGAGATGGCTCAGTGGTTAAGAGCACTGGCTGCTCTTTCAGAGGACCCCTGTTCAATTCCCAACACCAACATGGTAGTTCTCAACTGTTTGTAACTCCAGTTCCAGGGGATCTTGACACCCTCTTTTGGCTTCCTCAGGCACTGGGCATATGCATATGATACACATATCAAAACACCATATACAGTAAATAAAGAAACAAAACACTCAACTCGTAAAAAGTTGTGAGTGAGCTGTGTTGGCTGGACTAGCATTAGCAATACGCTTAGGCACCTAATGAACACTAGAGATGTATTTGTTAAATAAAGTCTGTACAAATAGCTGTGGGAGGAAACTCTGTGAAAACAACCCATACTCTGGTTATTCCGGTGACCAGTGAACATTTTTTTACATCCTTTCTCCAGCCGGTTTTAGAACCCCCTGCTCTACCTGCAGCCTTGCACATGCTAGGCCAGTTCTCTGTCTTACTTGGACAATCTAGGCCACAGGTACACAAACACGTCAGGGGCAGGGGGAAGCATTCAATTCTGACCTTTAGTTTTTTCATGTCTGTTAAATGAAAATCCTAAGAATAACTCAAGGGAGTTGTTGTAAGTACCACATAGGATAGTAGGCTACTGGGGATCAAAAAAATACATCACTTGTAAAGTATAAACCACTATTTAACATTTGACTTTAACTTTGTTACTCATTCAAAATCAGAGGTCAGGCAAGTGGGAAGTACAGCCCCAAACCTTGGCTCTTGGCCCAGGAAAGTAGAGTGGATGAGAGCTGTGCCCTTGGTTGCCAAAGTCGCTACACGGTGCCTTGAAGGGAGGTGGCACCGTTGTCGGAAGCAGCTAATCATGCCCTGGCCCAGCAGATTAGCGGCATTCTGGATAGGAGAGCCCACCCTGAGAGCCTGGTGGTTGTGGGGAGGTGGCAATGTGAGGACGGCCTTGGACCGACTGTAGAACACACAGGACACTCCCAGGTAAGGACAGCTCGTACAGAGCCAAACAGAACCTGCTGGAGCTGCTGTGGCAGGCCCTTCAGAAAGAAAGCAGAGCCAGACCAGGGCACAGTGTGAGAGGCTCCCCAGAGCAGCTCTTTTCTCTTGTACTGTCTGAAAGAGGAGTCACAATGCAGATCAGTCGTCTCTAGGATTAAATCCAGAAGGGATTAACATGACACACCAAGAATACTGAGAGGGCTGGGTGTGGTGCTGTGGGCCTGTATTCCTAATATGCAGGAAGCTGGGGATGGAGCTTGGAAACCCCAAGGCCAGCCTGTGCTGCAGAGGACACCCTGTCTGTCCTTGGTCTTGGAGCCTCGACTGAGAAAATACCATCAGATTGCTTGTAGACAAGTAAGTCTATGGGACGTTTACTTGATTACGAACTAGTGAGAGAGAAGGCACAGCCCACTAAGGGCAGTGCTTCCCCCTGGGTAGTAGTCATGAGTGGTAAGAAAACAGCCTCAGGATTGGAGAGGGCTCAGTGGTTAAGAGCACTTGCTGCTCTTGTAGCGGATTTGTGCTCAGTTCCCAGCATTCACATGGTGGCTCACAGCCATGTTTAACTCCAGTTCCAAGGGAACTGACCTCTGGAGGCCTCAGGCAGGAACACAGTGCACGCATATGTAGACAAAACACTCATAAACATAAACTCAGAAAAAACATTAAAGAAGATAGGCCGAGCCAGCCAAAAAAGCAATCCACAAAGCATCATTTCTCCACGGTTTCTGCTTCCGTTCCTGCCTGAGTTATTGCTGTGGCTACCTTGGAGATGGGCAAAGAAACCCTTTCCTCTGCAAGCTGCTCTGAGTCATGAAGTTTCTCGCAGCAGCAGGCATCTACCTAGGACACTCCAAATGCTCCTCCAGAAGAACAAGTCACTGACAAGGCTCCACTGGGCCGTGTGTAGCATTAGCTGCCCCCAAGGTAAAAAACAATATAAAGCCACCAGGGGAAGGTGCTCATGGGAAGTTTTCATGTGGAATATAATTTCTTTCTTGAGAGTGTTGGGGGTGAGGTTTGAGACAGTGTTTCTCTGTTGGCAAGGGTGAGGGGGCTGTATGTGTTTTTCCCACAGGTGAGGACAAACCTATTTGGATCCCAGAATGATACGTTAAACCAGAGGATAGCATCTTCAAAGGAAGCAATAGCGAAGCTATGCGTCGGAATGATGACGGTCAGCATCCTGGTGAGTCTCACTCAAGCGGAGCAGACTGTATGGAGCCTGGTAAGGAACCCCCCAGTACTAATGTCAGTAAGACGGACTAGTCCTTTATATCCATCTTTTTATTCCACCAACTGTTGGAAGGCACAGAATCACTCTTATATAAATGAAAATTCTTCATTTTTACATCACTGTGTAATGCTCAGTAATGTTTCCATAGCTGATTTTACTCCAAATGCTACATATAGCAAGGTTGTGAAGGGAGATGTTGTTCATGATTGTTCTTCCAGAGAACAATCTTCTTCTCTGGAAGAAGAATCTCTGCTTCTCAGAGACTGCAGCCTGAGCAGTTGCTGGGATTGGCGCTCCTCAGCTGCCCTGTTAGTTCGTGTACCAGCGATCATTTCTTTGCCAGTCCTAGAGAAGGCCGTTCGAGCAGAAATGACCCTGCATGGAGAAAAATGTGATACCGGAGTAACACCTGCTGCGGTTGCTGTCATTAAGGTCTCTGCTGCCGCTGTGACAGTTGCAGGAAATCAGAGCTGTGGATGGACAGTGGTGGAGAGAAGGAAAACCTCTACGAAGCAGGCACATAGGACCAAGAGTGGAGGCCACCAAGGCAACTGCTACCAAGTGGACGCAAAGTCCCTTCTTATTGATCCAATCACACCTGCCATCTGCTGCCCTTCCCACCCCATGTGGTGACTTTTCCTGGAGAACAGACCTCTCCTGTCCTCCCCAGTATCCGAAGCAAACCACACAGGACCACTGGATCAGACATGTACTCACGGTGGCCTTCTGCTTCTCAGCCTGCAGCTGGGCATTGGTCTCCTCAGGGCCTGTACACTGTCTCACCCGGCCTTTGTGGCCTCCCTTTCTACCTGCACAAAGATCAGAAGCTCAGGAAGGTGAGAGAGAAGGCTGCCATCTTTGCAGCGACCTGCAGAAGGCTGTCGTACTTGAGGGAAAGGGAACCTCACCAACCCACCAAGTACCACCCAAGCCTACAGTGTTCCCAAAGGACAAAGTTGCTCTACTTTGGGGAGTCAGCCCTTCAGCTCCATTAGGAGGAGTCCTGAAAGGGGTAGACAGAACCGTGTTTGAAGTCTGCACAGCCTGCCGTTGTGGGGTCACAGCAGAGAAGTCACTCCTATGCAGGGGGGTATTAAGCCCACCTTTCAATGGAGTGTCCACATTGGTCAAGGCCATGAGGCTCTGAGCTTCCTGCAGAATTCTGTCTTGGGAGGCCGGACTCTGTGATGTTCTCGGAGCTATGCTGTTGTTTGTGATCTTGTACTCAGACAGGAGAGTCTGATTCCAGACTCCTCTGCAGTTTGCAACTTCACTGGCCTGACCTACCTTGACAACTTCCTGGAGTTCTGCATCTGAAACCCGAGTACCAACTTGCTTCTCTTTTTAGTAATTCAGAGACACCACTAGTTTGAAGAATAGCTGATGGCAAATCAGATTCTTTTTTTCTTTTTAAACACTGTTTGTCTTTTTTCCTCTCTCTTCCTTCTTTTTCATATCTTCGTCCCCCATCAAGATCCTGCTGCCTTAACTTCAGGAAGTCTGCCTCAAGGGCCTGGTAATTCTCCTCAGAAGTATCATAAAACCCAAGAGCAGGCTTTTTTTTAAAGGGAATTTCAGCATTAAAACCAAGTCCTCTCTTCTTTTTCCTTTTCTTGTGCATTTCTATGCCAGCTGCTCGAAGCTCTCGTCTTTTCTGGAGGGCAGCAAGGCACCTTGCTTCTCCCAGCTGTTTCTCCCTTGCTTTCCTCTTAGCCTCCTTACCCTGTGTTTTAGCCAGGCGGGCTCCACCCTCAGAAAGCATGTCCAGTTCGCCATCATCCATTTCAATAGGATCGGGCCTGGCTGGCTGTTTCCGGAGTTGCCTGTGTCCCTCGAGGTGTATGTTTTCAGGAGTCATCCGGGGGTTTTTTCTTCTTTGTCCCTCTGGGCAGTTTTGTCCAGGAGGAACTCACACCGTTCTAAGCACTGGGCTGCTGTTCTTCCAATTAAGGGACCGACTGTCCGCCATTGCGTTGGCGTCAGCTTGACCAAGTGCAGGAGTTTTTCCTCCTCTTCTCTAGACCATTCAGTTTTTTGAATACTTGGGTCCAGCCATTCATAGCATCTGGCTTTGCACTGTTTTGCTGATTTCCTGTGCAGCAACGAGGCAATCCTAGACCACTGGTTTCCCCCATATTCATTGCTGCTACTTTCAGAATTTCATCCTCGGTATTCCTCCACATGCCTCCTTTGATGATAATCCGAGGCATCTTTGCGGTGGAGTGTCCCAGCAAGCACTCGAGAAAGTAGTAATGGCTCTTTGGTCAGAGGATGCAAAGAGACCACTTCCTCACAGAGGGACCTTCGGCTTGAACACAGAGGGCTGAGCAGGCTTGGCTGGGAGAGTTACTCAACCCGGTAAATCTCGCGAGATCTCAATGGCCGAAGGGAAAAGACTCAACTTTTTTTGTAGTTGGATGTGTGGTACACACCTTTAATCCCTATCACTTGTGGGAGAGGCAGGTAGATCTCTGCGAGTTCAAGGTAAAGTGGCACAAGCCTTTAATCCTAGCACTTGGGAGCCAGAGGCAGCCGGTTCTGTGTGAGTTCAAGGCCAGCCTGGCCTTCAGTGAGAGTGCCAGGACAGGCTCCAAAGTTCCAGAGAAACCCTGTCTGAAAACAAAACAAACAGCCCAAAATATAACACCAGAAATTCTATGTTCAGAATTTAACTGGAAAATGGGGCTGGAGATGGCTCAGCAGTTAGCTCAAAACCG